TATATATATATATATATATACAGTATATATGTATATACATATATATATATATGTATTGCTGTACATAAAATGTGTGTAAGTTGGGTGCCCTTCTGTTTCAATGAATAAGCTTGCTGATTTTAATACAGTATATATTTTCAAAAAATATAAACTTTTTATATTTCTGTGGTAGATTAGGGTAAGCGTTTTAGGCAATCTTTTTACACTATGGTTAACTCTTCTTTTAATCTCTAGTATTCTGGGATTGATGCCAATTGTTTTTCACTTAGAATAATACACTGTTTTACTGTTATTAATATATGCAGACAGGTTTTTGGTTTCCTTCCTTCATTTCTTCCAGCCTTGAAATACATGAATTTGTAGATTTGCTGCATTTGTGAATAAGCCTTACCACTAGTTTGAAACAAAGATTGTTAACTGCATAAGGAAAATGAAAAGTCAACTCTTTGGGGTGGTAGAATATCAAGGATTATAACATCCTTCCATAATCTGAGAATTCCAGGAGTTGTAGGCCCAACGCATCTGGAGGACATGGGGTTGAGAAAGGTTGGGTTAGAACATCAGATCCTGCCATGCAGACATGAAACAAATGGGGACAATTCATAATGAAACCTTTCCACTCGCAAAACTGACCCCTCTTCCAAGCATAATTTTTCTGCGCTTCAGGTTCTGGACTTGGATCAACCTGGAGAACATTTGAAGAGAGGTGGTTTGAAGGAGGGAACCAATGTTAAATGGATTTAACCCCCATTACTTTTGATGAACTTTTAAGAAACCCCCTTTCCTCCAACAGCTGCATTCAGACAGTTGGCAAATTTAGAATGCAGGGCCTTAATTTTTTTCTAGTGAAATGGAGAATACGGGTTGTTCTGGTTGTATGTGTGTGTGTTCTTTTCAAACATAGTTAGGCTCTTTAGCATGAGATTTCTTCTATAGTCAGGGATGGGAGCCTCTAGCCCATGGGTCTAGTCGGGCCTATCTAACCAACCCTAATCAAGCTCAGGTTCTTTGGGTGGCTCAACCTGTAAAAGTCAAACCTGGTTGAAGCCAACTCTCTTTAAGAGACCCTAAAGTTTACATAAGAGATGTAGAGACAATCTGAATTGTGCATTTAAATGCTCCACATCCTGGATGTATTATCTCTGTTTACCCTATTAACAATATGTTTTGAAGCCATACTTAATATTGTTGCCACTACTTCAAATATACACAAGGAAAGTCCTTCATGTAATTCACTCACATTTTCAAACAGGATCTTGGCTTCTAAGGAATAATATATGTAAATATAAAGCTTCCATTAAAAACAATAAGGACCAAAGAATTCCATTTTCCCAACCACGCCTTGGGTTATCACATCCTCTTCAACATGCATCTTGCATCATGTTTTAATTCGTTTTAGAGAAAGAAAAAGGGGCAAGGTAGCCAGAGTGAGTCTATCTGCTGAAAAAAACATGGAAAAAGAAAATGAAAAATAGTTATAAGTGATGAGGTGTCTATTGGTAAGGCTTATTACCAAACTTTGAAGATAAAGCAGGTAACCAAAAAAAGAGAAAAGAATTAAAATATAGATGTTTTCAGATATGGCCCATAAGTTATTTTGTTGTCTGAATGTCATGTTTCCAATATTTGTGAAGATGAAGACTGCACAGTATGACCAAAATGAGGGTATGGGGCACCCCTTAACCACAGTGTTGTAAATATTTCAGATATTAGTTAAGTACTGAGGGATGCATATCTTCTGATATATCTGATATAGTGACTGTGTAGATCAAATTGTACACAATTTATTTGTCAATGGTCCTGTAAACTAGTGTATGAACACATTTTTCTGGGTGCCTTAGAAGTTGTATTTTTCATGTGTGTTAATATGCAGTATTTATACATTGTGAGAAGCTGCTTTGAATAAAAACATTGGAACTTCCATTTGGTGGCTTTAGCGAATGGGGCTGTGGCAGACTGTGTCAAGGTGGGGTGAAGTTTGTGCATGACACCCCCCTAGAGTGTTTCCAGAACCGTTCCCAGGTTTCAGATAGCTTGATTAGGAGTGGGTAACCTTTTCGGACCAAGAACTTCAGTTTGTCTTCAGTGAATTTGGCAAAAGTCACACCTATATTGAAAAAGATCAAAACTATCACATCTGGGGCACAAACATCTGGACAATCATTAGATGGGAGTGGTGCGTACATAGGCGTCCATATGCATGAGTCAAAAATATCAAGATTTAGCTGGAACCACACAATTTCAGCTCCATCCATTTTTTATGTGCTTCAGTGGATGTCCCTGAATGAATGTTTTCTGTGTGCCAAAAAGGGGTTACATATCTTCTTTATCTGCACTAATGAGAAACAGTTGCAGCTGCATATTTAATGGAGAAAGAAGACTGGTTCCCATATCTGATTTAGCCATAATATATTTGGTTGGATTTGGCTTAGTACAATGTGTGATCCTGGACACTACTGCCTATGCTTTAGTCTTATGTGGAAACCCAAGTATTAGGCCTGAACTATGGTTTAAAAAACCGTGGCTTACCAGATACTTGCACTCAGTTTGCCAGCCAAACTACCACTGGAAAAGTTAATGGTCAAGTT